GGAAAGAGTTCTTTTGTTGGCTCTGTCAGCACCCTGCTAGTTCAGTTTTTAGGTACAAAGGACAGTCCAAGTGTCAGACTATGTTTGAAGCTTATGCGCACCTGAAATACCACAACTGTATGCATCTCGTGACCTGGTTGTGCTCAAGCTCCTCTGTAACAGCAGCTAAAGTAGCATCTGTTTCCTGACTTCATCTGATATTCGATATTGTGAAAGAAGAGAATTACAAATACTCCTCGCTTCTCCTGTTAGTTTGTGCATGGAATTTTTTTTACATACTCCTGTACTTCCAGAATTCCAAATAAAAATGAATTATAAACTGCCTCTTTAAATAGCAAACAAACAAAAAGAAAATACCATGCTGGTAGAAAAATTATGAAATTCAATTATCCAAGGGAATATTAGTGTAACTGCTGCAACTTCAACTAAAGCGGCTACAACCAGGAGTAATATTCTCACTTGTAGACATGTTAACACTTCTTACCCTGGGACTTTTTCCAAGCCAAACGTTATTATCACATTTCTTCCTGCATGTCTTTATAGTGCTGTGCTGTACAGAGTGCTGCTGCCTCTCCTTCCTGATGCTCTCTCCTGGCATTTGCTGCAGTTTTTCAGCCCTGTTGGTCCATGGCTGGTTCAACACTGGGTGTTGGGGGCTTGTTTCAGTTTTATCGTTACATTTGGTCTTGGGAATGTTTCTCCCCAGGAGTGGATCTAACCAAGAAGGAACTTGGCCCCATGATGGAAGAAGATAAAACCGCATTTCAAAATGTTTCAAAGCAAGACCCGGTAAGAGCCCTGGTGACAGTGAAACGTAGAACTGGTTTGGCTGAGCAGTGACAATGAAAAACACTGCGGGAGGGGACGGGCCCCTCCAGTGGTGTTGAGGCTGTTCCCTTGCTATAGCTACTCTCTAATATGCCTCTAGGAGGTGGACCAGCAAAAGAAAAATAATAAAGAGGAGAGTGAGGAAGCACCAGCTGTGGTTCCCAGTAGGAAAGGTAAGAGGGTTTTGCTGAACACGTTCATGTAACTCACGGGAGTGCATGCCTTGGCTGCCTGTGTCAAGACCTGTGTAAAGAGGTGCAGAGAGATACCTGCCCCACACCAATTATTGTGAAGGGTGTTTGTTTTAAGGAATAGTAGATCAAAATGGTTTAGCAGTGGACAGAAGGAATATGTTATCATGCAAAACCTGCTCCCTGATTTCTACAGACACTGATCTAGCCAGCTCCATCCTCCTCTAGACAGGAGGGAAAATTTCTTAGGAGCTGGGATATTTGAAATGGTTCTGACATTCCTGTTCTCCCCAAAGACTTGTAAGCGGCATCCTCTATGCTAGCTACAGCCTGGGGGTAGTGCCATCTAGATAAACAGAATGATGTGTCTACTGAACTGACTTGGACATCTCTACTCGTCCAATCGCCTCACCTTTTGCCTTTGGAGTTCACTAAAAGTTAGTGATGTAGAAACTCACGTAACCTCCTGAACCCATGGGCTAGGGGCTTAAACCAAAACCTATAATGAACCTCTCCTGTACTAATTAGAGGCCAGCTGAAGCCAACTAAGCTACTAACTTTTGGGGCTTTGTACAAGTGACCGTGCTGTGCTATCTTACTGACATTAACCCTAATGTACTCCGAGGTATAAAAATTGCTTTTATTGGCAAGAGCCTGACACTAGAAACCTTTCAGTGGCTTCTGTTGGAGCTTAAAAGACTTTCACAAGCTGGTTTTGGGAGGCTGTTTTTTCCTTTTTGTCTAAGAGCATTTTTTTTCTCTCTTCTCAGGGAGTTCACCCACTGCAGGTGGCATTAAAGTAGAAAAAACAAAGCAAAATGAGCCGTAAGTGCCTTGACTTTCAATGATCACGTGCATGTATGAATTTAAAGCTGCAGTCTGTTACATGATTGCTTCTTCTTATCCTACAGTGAATCTCCTAATGAGAAAGAAGTGGAGGTAAGTCTTGACTGCTTGTATCCTCAAGTATCTCGGACAACAGAAAGATCTTGCCGATCAGCTCTGATTAATATCTTCTCCTATATAAAAGCGTGATGCTGAGTAGTTTAAACTGGATGTATTTCTGCAACTTGGCTTCTGAAATTTGTCTTTCCAAGCCCAATGGAAATTTTGGATGGGAAAAGGTGGAAATCTGTGAAACCGAACAAAAGATTTGTCACTACTAAAACACTTGTTTGCAAGCTTGAAGGAGCAGAGCTGTGACGTCCTCCCAGGCAGAATGTGCTGATTTCAGCCTGTTTTGTCAGAAGACGCAGATGGCACGCTGCGTGCTGCCAGGATATCAACTGTTCTGGCTGCAGATTATTTCCCCCATCCCTAGCGATAGGAAGACTGGCTTTGTGGATGTCGCCGGTGTGTTTGCCTTCTCTTTCTGTAACATTGTTCTGTAACTTTTTCCACGGGGTATAGTCCCAAATGTCATGTCAGTATCTAAATCTACTTTAAAAGCTGCTGCATCACTTGAATTATTCTGAAAACTTTTCCTCTCCCACAACAGGCTGAATTTTTGAGGCTGTCTTTAGGTTTTAAATGTGACTTGTTTACCTTGGACAAGAGAGTGAGGCTTGAAGAAAGGTCCCGAGATTTGGCTGAAGAAAATTTGAAAAAGGAGATCACAAATGCTCTAAAGATGTTGGAGGTTAGTATGGGCCGAGGCTGGTAAGGTGGGTGGGATGAACGGCTGAGAAAGTGTCTCTTAGGTTGGCTCTTTTTAGGATGCGTGTGTGTGTTTAATACTTGAAGCAAATCTGAACGAAGTTCTTAAGTGACACAGTTGAAACAGGAGACCTAGCATGTGAGGGGTGACCTTCACCTGAGTCTGTTGTGTGCGTAGGCAGTGGGGAATTTTTCTATGGCACAAACTTCTGACAAGAACCACTGTCTTCAGCTGATTTTCTGCTAGGTAAGCAGAAGTCTCTGCCTGCTGGAGGCCTGTATCAAGTTACACTGCTTGAGGGTGTTGGATGCTGATCTTCCGACTGTGTGGGCATGAACACAACCTCTGGTGTCATCAGTTGGGTTCACTCTTCTTTCTCTACTAGTAGCTCACACTGTTTTTCTTACCAATATGCCTCTTAGGCTTTAGTTCCTTTGTGTGAAGAAGACAACCAAGCGCAGGAAATAATTAAGAAGCTGCAGAAAAGCTTGCAGTACCTCAGCCAGTACGCAGCCCGGGTTGCCAGCAGAGCAGAGATGTTGGGAGCTATTAATCAGGTAACCGTTTCCACGTAAATGTATCTCGTACAAAGTTAAAAGCTTCTGGATGTAAGAGGATAGCAGTGTCTGTTTGCTAGGCTTCTGGTTCCAGAATTAGATTTGGGCATCTTGTGTATGTAATGCAGACTGCCCAGTACAGCTTAGTCCCAGCTTTCTCTTCTCATCATAGTTTGTGGTGTTATAAGGAATCCCAGGCAGTGTGAGAGCAGCTACATTGCACCAGCATTGTGCAAAAACACACAACAGAAATACGGTCCTGATCTAAAACAAACAAAAACCCAAACAATAATCCAGAAAAAAATCTTTGCATTGGAGGAATGTACGCAGTAGAGAGCACAAGACGCGATGTGGTAGCAATAGTCTTGATGCTCTAATGGTAATTCTGTGCCTTATGGAAAGGGCAGCTCATTAGTTAAATCTATGGCAATTTACAAAGACCTGCTCCAGTGTTGTGTGTAATTGTGTATAATGCCAAAGAACAGCATGAAAATATGACTTGGCAATACTAGCAAATGCGTGGTGGCAGCTGAGACTGCAGATCGGAGAAAGCGACGAGGAGGAGTTGTTAGGGCTCAGAAAACAAAGACTAATTTATTTTAAAGAAGAGTACTTGTTGGAGAAATGAGACCTGTGTAACTTGGGCATATGTTGAGAGATGGGTTGTAGTAAAACTTTGAAAGGGTGGACAAAAATGAGAGAATACTGCATCGTGGTGATACGAGATGAGACGAGATGGCTAAGGGGGGGAAAAAAAAAAGTCTTTAACTTTAAACATGACACAGCCTCTCAGAGACGCTTCTTTTTCCTATTGCTGTTGCACTCTGTCAGGAGAGCCGTGTCAGCAAGGCTGTGGAAGTAATGATTCAACATGTGGAAAACCTGAAGCGCATGTACGCAAAAGAGCACGCAGAACTTGAGGAGCTGAAACAGGTCCTGCTCCAGAATGAGAGATCCTTTAGTTCTCTTGGAGATCGAGGTAATGCTGCTGCGTCCTTTCTTTTCCTAGCATCGGCCATAGACCCCTATCTAACTGAAACTTAACATGTTAGGTGGAGGGGAGATATGACTGTTGTATCTCCTTTCCTAAAAATAGAGGAAAAATAGTTTACTAACACTATTAGGAAAAAAAACCTCTCTGACATTAGACTTGTATGTAAACTGTCATGAATGAGTGGGAAGGAAACACTGCAAGTATGCAGCAATGTTCTGGCTTTCAGAAAAGTGCACTGCACGTGGTGATGATAGAATTTCTTGTGACCAGTGAACTTGTGTGCCCACTCACACTGGAGCATTCCCAGTAGCTGTTTCTAGGTGGCTGAGCTCTGACTGCTCTCTACAGATGCCTCCTGTTCCCCTCTAAATCGGAATTACAGACTCCTTCAGTGCAGGGGCTCTGAATTTCCCCCTGTAAGTGGATGGTGTAGTGGTCAGGTTTTCAGATGGCACTGTGCACTTGTGGCTTAAATTCTTCTGACAAATAAGGCATGTATTTTAAAAACAAAGGGCAGTCTTGTGCACCACTAAAATCCTCGTAGGAGTCTTCTGAATCACGAGCTGTTCTTTCCTGACTGGAAAAGATTGTCCTGTAACAGGACACTGCCTCGATAATAGAAGACTACGTTTAGTGATAGCAGCAGAAATTGATGCTTGTAGGGGATGTATAATGCGTGAATATCATGAACTTATCTAATGAAATAGAAAGCTTTTTCCTGAAATGTCCTTTCTGCTTTCTGAGCGTACTCTGAAACGCTTTGCTTAAACAGATATTGCAAAAAGTCAGACCCTGAGTTGCAAATAAAGCTCACTGCATTCCCATAAGCCTTTCTGGTGTTTGATCTCTTCACAGATGAATCTACGAATAAAAAGCTGCCAAATTCTTTTAAGGTAATGGCATTCACAACACAACATGAAATTTCAAGTGTGCTTTTAAGTGTCTGTGTTTATGTGCTTTTCCATGCCTTCTTATGCACTGGTGCTCTGCTACATGCTTGACGTGGTAGTTTTTTGTGTCAAATCTGGGCTGATGTCATCAAACATGAGGATATATTTTTCAGTCAACCCCACCAACCTGAGGGAACAGCACGTGGCCCCACTTAAAAGATGAAGCGCTCACCGAAGCTGTGCTCTCATGCAATGGTTCAGCAATGTTGTTCGTGTATGGTGTTCTCATCAGGGCTGCAGAAGAACGGTTTAGCACAGGGAGATGAAAAAAAAAAAACAGATGGGAGCAAATCAAACTGACTGTAGGAACTCCTGTGAGCACCATTAGGAGAATTTAAATGCCTTCAGTTTTGGTATTTTGCTGGAAGCTGTGTAGCCAGGCTCACTTCAGATGCCTGGGGGGGAAGCAGTCAATGTGGAAGGAGGCCGCTTTAAAGAATGCGGTTTGGGCTGTGCTTCTGGTTTGATTCTTCTTTGTCTGTCACTTCAAGCTACGTGTCAACATCTATTTTTTTTTTATACAGTTTGTATTAAAACAGATGGTATTTTATGTGATCAGTGAGTAATCTAGTCATTCCTTGATAAGAGTCAGTAATGCCTCTTATTTGTGTAGCCACCATCATCCCTTCGAAGAGTTAGCATTGCAGCATTGCCTAGGAGTGCTGGAAATGCAGGTACTGGGTTGCCGCTGGTAAGTAAGGGTTCCCAGGTGGCAAGGCGCTCTACCTGCTCGAAACTGGCTGGGCTGAAGTGCAAAAGTGCCAGTGCAGTAAGTGCATCCAACTTCTTCTCCAGGGCCAGCTCCATGAACCTGAGGGAGAGGAACGAAGTGATAAATTCAACAGGAGATCAAGCAGTTGGTAAAGTTACCTGGGCCTGTCTTTGGATAGGGTTAAATATTTTTCAGCTCTAATTGTGCCTGTATTGAGCAGCTTAGGGAGCATCTTGAGGTACAGTAATGTTTAGGCTACACCTTTCACATTAGCTTTACATGCTTCAAGAGGTAAATGAGCCTTTGTGACTAAATGTTACAGGTCTTTTTATTATTGAGGGTTGAATGTTTTAAAAATTTACCTTTAGAACTAAAATATGAAATCTAGGCAGCTGGCATTGATGGATCCGGGGTTTTCTTGGCTATTTTTTTTTTTTTTTTTAAAAAAGATTCCTAACTTCAGGCAACTGATTTTGAAACTTACTGGTTTAAGGCCTGGCCAAATGAGTAGGCTGCTGCTGAATTTCTAATTTCCTGCTATATATCTGATGGGGGAATTAAGGCGAATTTCTGTAAAATATGACAGGGGACGGCTGGGAGCAAAGCAAAATGAGAAGCGTCCTTCACTGCAGCGGTTCATTAGCACGTATTCCTGGGCAGAGTATGAAGATGAACATGCTGAAACAAAGTAAGTTCACCAGCAATCTCCTCTGAGGTGTGTGTGTGTGCATGTGCTGGGCTGGTGGTTGTTTTTTTTTAATGGACTCTTAACTGTCCACCACCTGATCAGGGCTACAAGGTCAATCTGTTGTGAGCTCTAGGAAATTGAATGCTTGATGGAAAAGCTTTGGAACTGTTACTGCTTGCTTACAGAAACAAGCAGTCAGAATCACCTGCTGAAGTACAAGAAGAACCATCAAGGAAGGAAAGTGTCTCTGAAAAAGGAAAAAAATCATCAAAATGGAGCCTAGAGTCAGCGTAAGTTTTCTCATATTGTTGTGAGGTAAAGCAATGTTTGGGTGGTGGACATGGGAAGAAAAGCTGTAGCTTTGGTTTGGTTGTTAATGCCAACTTCTTACACAAACCAACTGGGAATGAGTAACCTCAGGTGCTGGAGACTTGCCCTACCAGGGATTCAGCACTAATCCTAAACGCTGAGGTGAAGCATGCCTCATGCTATGATCCCACCTCTCTTGGTTACCATGTGACAGCTGTCACAGCTAGGGTAAGACTTCTCCCTAACCTCCAGGAAGGCACCAAAGCCCTGGGAAACAACAAACCACCAGGCCAGCGCTTTTCAGTGGTTTCTACAAGCAAGACTTCTTCATAAGCCGCAAGGCAGCCTTTGCGAATCCTCCTCAGAAACGTGGTGGGGTACAGGCAGCATGGGTCAGGTCAGCCACCAAAACGGCTTGTTCAGAATTTGCGTACTGAAGTCTGCATTTCAAACCCAGAACACAGGCTGCCACTGTAGATGGCTCCTGAAACAGTAACAACCTTGTCACCTTTGATCGTTAAGGATCTGCGCATTTGTGGGGTCTGGTTTGCTTAAAGGGTTTTTTGGGGTAGGAAGAGGCCTTCCAAGCTTCAAAGAAAAACTGAACCACTCTGTCTGACTCTTCTGTGCAGGTGCAATTTAATGTCAGCGTGGGCATCCCATTTCAAGACTTCCTTTTCCAACGCTAACAAAACTCTCTGGGTCTCTGTTTCCATCCTGGTGCTGCTCGCTGCTCTTACAAGCTTCCTCACTGGGCTGTCTCTTCAAAGACCAGCAGATGCAGCGCCTGTCGGAACTGGGGACTCCTGGACTTCACTACAGCAGCTGTTGTGGCCATATACAGGCCTTCAACACAACGGACCACCCCCAGTATAACAAAGGTTCTGACTTTTGTAGTTATACTTCCGAGTTCTGGATGACAGTATGAGAAGCTGAGATAGTATATTTAAGGTTATATGTTTGGGTTTGTTTTGTTGGGCTGTGGGTGTTTTCTGGGGAGAGTTTTGTTTTTTTTTTTTGTTTTTTTTTTTTAAAGCATGACTTGAAATTGAAATCCTCCCCTCCTGACAAAAGTCATCTTTACAAATACCTAAAAGGATCTCGGTTCTGTTCAGGTTTACAATAAAGCAGTTAGTAATTTTGAACATAGCTCACCATAAATCTAAGTGGTCTAGCCACAAGAGAATAAAGAATTTATTTTGCTCTAACAAAAATACCATGTTGGCATTTTAGTCATGGAAGCTGTTCCAGTGATTTGAATAGAATGGGATTCAAGACTTGAAATGGAACTTTATTGAAAGCTTTTGATAATAAAGTTTTAAAGGAAAGCATGCAGTATTTAAGAGTATGTTAAAACTCTTGTAGCAAGTAGTAGCTGATACACAACATCAATAAACAAGCAGCTAGCCGTTTCCACTTTATCCATTGCTTCTTTGCTGGCAAAGTCCTTCAGCATGTGGTAGAGTGTGGAGTGAAATTCAGAACCTTCTGCTAGCTCTTCTGAAAAGGTTTCACTGGTTTCAATGATCTTGAGCTTTTGTGCTTTCTGACCGTTAAACATGTAAAGAGCCCAGTCTTTGTCTTTGACAGAATCTGCTGTAAGGTGCTCGCTTACCTATTGCAGGCAAAAAAAATGTGCTGTAAGATGAAGCCCATGACACTGACAGTATAAATTCTAGTATGAAATTCTAAATTCTAGTATACTCGGAGTGTAATACAGAAACAAAACCAAGATGCTGCTTTGAACCCCTAAGACAATATTAGCTCTCTGTGCCTAAGAGACTGTGTACTAGGTACTGTACAAGCACCAAAGTCTTCCATCTGGTTTGCCTCTAAAATGCAAGCTTTGGCCTGACTCCTGGGGACAGAGTAGCTAGGTGCAACGGGCATCGGTTGTTTTAGTTCTTGCTCTTGGGATTAGGTATTACACTAAATATTTGTATGTCACATGCATTTAACTCAAGAAAGGGGGAGAGCTGCTCAAGCTGTTAACAGTGTGGTATGTTCTGTACCTACAGCCACAACTCAGAGTATTTTTCTGTCTGGGAGAAGTTTTTAACCACACCTGTTTTAGTTCACAGATGGAAACAGAGCAATCCTTAAGTTCCTTATTTCCTCCTTTACGGTAAGGAACAAATGAAAACCCATATGGACATGAAGAAATTTCCAGATATCAATTTTAAAACTTGCAGATCAGACTGCTACTCAGAAGACCCCTACAGTAGGGCACTTCAGGAAAATCAGCATCCAGCTACATCACTCCAGCTTTGGCTAAAGCCTCAACAGCTGACTGATCAGTTCTACACCCTAGCACATTAGCAAGTGTCTCTGCTACGGAGAAGTGTGGCCCATGAGCAATCTCACAAATGCATGAGCTGTGAGGCAGCAGAGCAGCAGGCTCTGAAGTCTTACTGACACACTGCACCCTGCTAAGTAGCCAGCCCCAAATCTTAAAACTGTTGTGCTAAGAGCACATGTGGGGGTTAAAGACTATGTTTGAGATAAGCATAACTTCTAGCAGTTAATAGCTTCTGTCTCTAGCTGGTTTTCTCTAGATGTTTAGTCTAAATCCACAAACCTTGAACACTACTTGCTCTTGACCAGCTTCCACATTCCACTTGCTCCAGGCAAAAGCAAAAGCAGATGCAACAAGTGCCATCTGTTGATAGGCCCTAACTTCTGCTATGGCAGACTGTAATGCAAAACGACAAGTTAGAAAATATATACATATCATTCAGTCTAATTCCCCCTGTTTATACAAATGTAAGAAAAAGCTTTAACAACACTTACGTATTTGTCACCTCATTCTGCACAACAGGTCTTCATACGTGAAAACGTTACTTAACTGAAAAATAGGTGGAAAAAGCAGCAGGAACACCACCTGCTCTTGCACTCACCTTATTGGTCATAGAGATGTACTTGTGAGAATACTCTCCTGGGAAAATATTCACACCAGCTCTTTTCAAAACTGCTCTTAGGTCAGCGGGACTTAGCCATTTCCCAGTGACATGGGAAAGCACATCCTTCTCTTCCACCACTACTGAAGACAACATACACTGATTATCCTGTTGTACAAACCAGTGACAGCAATTTACTGGTCATGAAAGCTATTTTCTGCTTCAGGCATCAGACATTAATATTGCTGCTATTCTGGATATTGCATACATTATCCACCACTCTGGGCTATAAACTTTCATTTCAACATCCTGAAGGAAGCCACAGAAACTACATGGGCCTCCTGGCCCACGCTTATTTATGCTTATACTAAGTCTTTTAAAATCATGCCTGTTACTGAACTCATTGATATGGCAATGAGCACATAGCTAATCATGCATAACTTCAACCACTAGAAGGAAGAAGTGACATTAGTAGAGATTGCTTGAAATGCTTTTATCTTTTGTGGTGTGGTTGGGAGGAGAGAAGAACAATTTTTAAGTCTCGAGCTGGTGAAAGAGTCTTGAATTCAGCGAGGTAGCACCAGTTACCAAAGCATGTACTGGAACTTAGCAGAGCAGTCATACGGATGCTTTCCTCTGATCAGCTCACAGAAAATAACTGAAATCATCACTACTGCTCCTTACAGCGTGGGGACAGGAAGAGATCCTCCCTCATTTTCAGAGCTGCAAAGTAAGATTCAAACTGCTTTTGTGGAAGCATCCCCAACTCTTAATAAGGGACACTAATAGTTCTATATTTTTTAAAAAGCCTGCAAACATTTTATAAAAAAACCCCAACATTTACAATACCTTAATTTGTATCTGAATTATTGCAAAGACTGTAGTAACTGTAAGCAGTGCTTCATCGGTAGTGGTAGGTTGCAATTCCCACGCCTGATAGGGCATGTTGAGATGCGCATCCTGGAGAAGCGCTATTGTGTAAAAGGCACCCATCTCAAAGGCGATTCTCTTTTCTTGTGCTTTGTACCTTACGTTGCTGATGCCATCGGTTCTCCACTGTTGACCTGTACAAAAGGGATGCAAAAATACAAAGATGTAGACATAAAGCTCCTGCTTGTGATAAGCACTGGGGAAGAATCAGTTAGTAAAGACATCCTAGGTTAACTAATATTCATAGTTAAGATAAAACATTAGGCACAAAATCAAGGTCATTCATTTAAGGCAAAAACTCCCTTCATCTTAAATGTCTTTAAGTACAAGGTTGGGCTAATTTTGACAGGAAAACTTCTCCTTAATCTCAAAAGAAATACAAATACTAGTGTAACTGTCATCTCTTTCTTGCTATATAGCAGGTCATAAGCTCATTGTCGAGAGTAACTTCAACACTAAACTCTTTCATGCATGTAAAGTCAGAGGTATGCTGTATTTATTTAGTAACTGGAATATCACACTTGATTCTTAACATTTAATTTTTGTCTTTTAACTTGGTACTAATACACATAGTTAGGAGCTTATTTGGTTCTAAGTGGACTTCACATGGCTTCACCCTAACAAAACTTGATTTGGGGTATACAGTTGTACCACCGCCCATTAAATGGTGCGTATTGTGCCAGTAAGAGTTCCTTTATTAAATGTGATGCAGAAGCAAAACAGAACAAAAAAAACCACCCCCAAATCAATTAACATTGAAGTCCCCAAATTATTTGTGAGGTCTGAATTGTCTCTTATCTTCGCAGCTGGATTCTGGAAATAGTCAAACTCAGGTACAAATTCCATTATTCCAACTCAGAATAAATTCATGTCCTAAGTTTGTACCTGCAGGATCCCATCGGGCTATCAGAGGATCCGCAAAATACATCACATTGTCAGGAAGCCTAAGGCTTATCTCAATTGGCGGTTGTGTGGCATCTTCAGCCTCTTCGGGGGGATATGGGTATGCCTCCAATCCAACATCGAGTAACTTTGGCAAGATGGAAAAAGTACATTTTTTTACCAGAAAAATGCAGTAGCTTACCTCCCCCCCCTTTAAGTCCACCTAAGCACTGCAGCATTTTCTAACACACCGTTTAAAATTTATTAGTATTAATGGTTTGCTAATAGTGCGCATGTCCAATGACAATGTTGAAGACAGCAGAAAGGCAACTGCCACCAGGCCTTTGAAACCTTCACGTGCTGTCAATGGCACCCTTAAGGCAGTGCCACACAGTAGGCATAGTCATTTTTTAATAGATCCATGGTCTCCAAAAAAACAAAGAACAGCTGAGAGGCAAAAGCAGACATAATTTCATTTTGTCCACGCGGTGTCAAAGGGAATGAAAAAGGTCACATGCAACTGGTGATGAGGTCTGTGTGCTCAGCTGGGAACAAAGATCCCATGCTCCCTGAGCTGCCCACAGTCCCTCTTTCTTAGTTCATATGGGAATTTCACTTATTAAGGGATTTCAGCATCACAGTAAAAGCTGTGATGTAGGTTAGCACTATGTCACACTCTGTGAGTGGGAAAACTAGAACGCATTGGCTATAGGCCTCAAATATCTTGCAGAGCCTGGAACTGAATTGGCAGCAATTTTGCTACCATCCTTCTTTAAGTGTACCTTTCACATATAAAAAAAATTCTAAAAGAACTTCGCTCTGCTTTTACTTTAGCCAAGAGCATTTTCCAGCACAACACTCTGTGCTAGCCATGCTGATGAGCACTGACTGAGCACACGCCTTGCCAAGCACAGGCTCATCTGTGCCCCGCCCCCACTCCAAAAATTTGCCACGTGGAATTGAAAACTGATTTGAAAACTTGGTTCTTTAGTTTGCTGCTCAAGAAATCATGTACGCTGCATATGTACAGTGGTGACGCCTGAGGAACAGCTCTGCAAGGCTGACAAGGAAGAGGCCGGCACAGGGTGTAAGCCCTGTCCTCGCTTACCTCCACCATGCTCCAGCCCTTGAGCTGGCTGACCCGAGGTGGAAGCTGCAGTAGGTCAATGTGGTACACCCCCCCCACTGGCACAAACCGCTGCAAATCGACAACAGGTTCATCAGTTAGCGCCTCTTCTTTTTCAGTCATCTCTTCCTGCGTCAGTGGCTCCTGAACTAAAAAATAACCAAATAAATAACACAACTTGGTGCTTAAAGACACTGAAATTTCCCACTTCTGTTATTTTTCACTTTTGCACTTCAAGCCCATGTGCATAAAGCGCTTCGCCCGCTGCAGCATTTCAGCACCATCTACTGGTGTTCCCAACTCTGCTAACAAGGGAATGAAACGTGGGGAAAGCCAGACAGCTGGACAATGAACAGCACCTCTTGTTTTGGTACTGAGCTTTTTAACAGATTAAGCTCTGCTCTAACTTTGTAATCAATTCAAAATGCTTTGTATAGGAATAAGGTTTTACTGACAAAAATAGTCACACCATTAATCACAGAAGAATTTCACAAGTACACAAGAGGCAAATAAAAGGACATAAAGCACCTACAGGTCATGCTGAAGGTGAAAAATGGTATTTATGAAGAGCAAGGGGGATTTAACATGAAACAAAATTTTCAGATAGCGAAGACAATTCATATTTCTTCTATGCATAATTATGTATATGTTACATATATGTACAAATTTAAGTTTTAATCAACTGGAAAATGTTATTAGAAGGCATCAATGCCATGGAAAAAAATACCTAGAAATATTTTCTTTAAAAAAAAACCACTAAAACACAAGCCCATATAAAACATTGCAGTGGATATTACAGAAGGAGGACAGATGTTACTGCTATCAGGGGGTCAAGAAAAAGTGTTCAATACTGTAAAAACAGCTGCTGTAAGTGTCATGAAATTTGTTTGAAAAGAGTGAGACAATAATCTTAAAAAATGACAAATATCTCTATAAACTGTCTTCAAGCTTTTAAAAAAAACAAGTGAAAATGGTGTTAATTTTATAAAGTTTGAGTTAGTTGCATTATGCAGCAGTGTTGTTTGTTTGACTGTATTCTCACAACAACATAATGGCCTTTGGCACCTATTTGTGAGCAAACAGTTTAAAGGATGTAAAGACCATTTTACTACCAGCCACAGTGGTAGCCTGCACTTTAACTTGCTTTTTAGAACTATAAACCCAAAATATTTAAGTATCTTCTAAACAAAACTATTCATTCTCCCAAGCTAAATTAGCTTTCTAACACCGGTACAATGAAGTTCAATCCAGAGACTTGCAGTAGTTCCCACTCTTTTCCCTGTTGTTGCACTCCTGGTTTTTCCCTCTCGGCTGCCTGGCTGCCTGTTTTCACTGAGTTTGTGGTAAACGAGCAGCCTTTCCAAGTCTGTTCCGAAAAGTGGTTGAATGGGTTTGCAAATCATTCGCATGCCAGCAAAAGCACAGTTTCACAAGCCTTCTCTCTTTATCAAAGCTAATAAGGATTCAGGTACAATTAGTTCACTTCTGTGCACATGCATTTCACCCAACACTAGAGTACGGATTTTCAAAGCCTTACTGAAATAAAATAGCAATTTCCTCCACATAAAGCCCAAGTTTTTTATACTCTCTTGAAAATCACCGTGTCTGCATGGTCTTTAGGGTCTAGTCAGACAACTGGTTGGTTGGACTGGGCTCAGCAGAAAGTGTTGTGAGGTGTGGTTTTGTTTCTTTTACAAGCAGAAGGCTGTGCAGTTCCTCTAAGCCATACTGAATAGTTTTCAATTATTACTTGAAAGAGTACTACAAGAAAATAAAGGACACCACAATACCGAAGAAATTTGTAACAACTCATGTGGGTCAGACAAACAGTTTTAGTTCCTAGAATTCGGTCCTCTTTCAGCAAAGTGTTCCAGCATGTATCTCACTTTAAGCACAAATTTAAGTAATGCTCAGTATCACCTACATTACCTGAGTGCCCACCATTATACGCACCTAAATAATTTTTCTCTGAGGGACTCAATCTCGCCAGACAGGCTGACGGCTTCATAAAGATTTTGTGTCACACCCACAAATCTGCATAAACATATCCATAATAATATACAAATGTACATAAACATCATAAATATGTACATGAAAATAAACATAAATAATACATAAATTAAGTGTGGGGACAAAATCCATTTTCCTATCTGTCCTATTTTCCCCCTGCACTTAACAATCATTAATAGAAATGTCAACAAAACTCAAGTGTTATCAAAACATCAATATGTTTATAAACTTTGATCTGTTCACTTGGAGATCTATATCCCAATGTTTCCATATATATAATATTTAGAATATGTACTTTTTGTAACGCTGCACATAAAAACTAACCAAATACCTTGTGACGGTATGTCCAAGATCTCTGATTTCTTCTCAGTTTCCTCCTCTGTCATCTCATTTCTATCAGCTCTGCTGCTGTTGTCTTTGAATGAGGTAGCGCTCTATAAAAAAAGCAAGAGACATCTTTTCATTACTCAGAGACAGACACAACAAAGAGAGTATCACCTCCTCCAAGGCGGTCCAAGGAGAAAGAGCACAGTCCCACTCCTCCAGCAACATTTGCACCGACCCTGCTACAGGGTCAAGGTTTTAAGAGAAATCACTTCTACCTAGCTAGCAAAAATAGTTTTGTTTAAAGGTACTCTCCAAACTTTGTAACCAGATATATAAATAGAGATAAAATAATTACTTCCTTTCCACAGGAAATTCCATCTCGAGCTCCCCAAGTACCATATAAGCACTTCACCTTTTTAGCAGCACATGCACTCCAACATTGTGTTTATGGTGACATTACAGATAGAAAAGTAACGCAAAGAAAACTTCAGCCAACGTTGAATCCACAGCCATACTGAAACTACCAGAACCCCCACCTGCAGTCTCAGCCGGTGCCTTGCCCGGATATTCATTCCCTTTCTCACATATTTTCTGTTTTCAAACCATTACCCCGGCTTCCCAGCCAGATTCCCGGCCCAGACGGGCAGGCGCCCCTGCTCCAGCAGACTGCCCTGGGAGCAGAGCAGCAGACGGACGGCAGTGCCGAGTACGAGGCCCCTTCTGCCCGTCGGCCAGTGCGTGGGAGCAACACACACCTCCTGCAACGGGACACAAGGCAAGGGGAAACAAGTGTTTCTGCCCAGCAATGTGAGGGAACTCTGGGCAGAGCCAGGCAGGAGGGGAGACTGCCGTAGCTGAGAGACGCAGAGTATTCAGAGGGAACAGGAAAATTCACAAAACTGGATTGAGAAAGAGAGAGAAAGACCTGGAAAAGAAAAAGAGAAGGAATGAAATGAGGAGCTTGAAGAAAGTCTGAAAACTGTAGGTGAAAACTGCCAAAACACAAGATTTGTCGTGCAAAAAATAAAAAAGGAGCCCAGCAAAATGGGATTTCAGGCACTGATTCACTACAAGGTCTCAAAGAATGAAAAGGAAAAAGGCAAAGATCGTTGCTCCAAACATATGAAGAAGGCATAAAACATTTTACAGTTATTTGTGCAGCAATTTTAGATAGAGCACCCAAGTCATTTATCTGCAGGTCATAGATGACACTGAAAGTGAGAAACCAGACCCAGTAAGAACACAAACCCAAGCAACCTCCACCAGGCCAACGCGTTCCGCTGAGGCGTGCTGCTGCCAGGAACCCGGCAAACAGAAGCAGTGCCGGGACAGTGCTTGAGTGGCAAAGCTTCAGCGTGCAGACACAGAGCAACCAAGTAACTGCACACCCAACACCTACTGAACTCCGAATCCTACTCTGCACGCAGCGAATTTTCCTAATATTGGATTTCTGCAGCGATTTTTATGGGGCTGTCAGTTTCTCCGACGCGGAATCCATTCATCTGGACATCTGTCGCAGATTTACAGAAATACCTTACAACGGCACCGGACGTTCCTCATGGCTCGATCCCACTCTTAAACTGCCAACCCAATGCCAACTCACGCACGCCAGCGGCACGGCAACCGTGACGCCCTGCCCGCACTCCCCTTCCTACCTGCTGTACAACAGTCTTTGGGCCATCCCCTGGAGAAGATCTATGACACAATATTAACACAAGTTGCCTCTCTCTACAGAACGTTTCAGAACCCCACGCTCTCAGGCACAAGCCATGCTAAGAAGCTGTTACGCTGCAACCAGGCCTCCAGTAACAGCAGCGTTGTAGAATACCCTCCGGTGGGGTTTTTCACCTACCTTCCTCCCATCAGAACACGTTTCTTCTTCAGCAGACACGCTGAGCTCTTCTCTGGCTTTCTTTTCCTCTTCTTCTGGTTCTTCTACCTCCTCTTTTGAATGCTGAGTTAACTCTTTGCTATATAAGACTTCCAATTTTGGCACACACTGACACTGGAGCCGAAGTGGAGATACATGATCATAATGAGTATGCAATATGCGAACTGCAATGCTACTCACAGCCAGTGACTTTGGAAGATCAAATCCATGCTGCACATCAGAAAACACGTGATTTTTCAACCTGTAAACAACAGTTTAAAAAACAATATTCCCTAATCAGATTGGCAGCACTTGTATTCATATTTCTTCTAAGTATTCATATTGATGTTCTACACTAAAAGTCACCTAAATTCTCTTTTGTTGCGTGGCACAGTCTTAAGAAATAAAGCGGGATGTCACGATACTCTGCCTGTCTCGTACTGACAGCTGTCTGTGAGCCCCTCCAGAAAAGCTGTAACTGCATTAAGGGAATCAGGAGCTGCAAAAATAAGGGTCCGGACAGGGTAACAATGAGGCAGGATCAGGCGGCAGCTCTTCTACGCAGTGCATTCCCGGTAAACTGACTGATGTAACGGGCAAACCCTACACACGTGAAGTCACCAGCTGTCTGTGTTACACCAGTGTCAGCAACTTCCACGTAAAATTCAAAGAGATACAGAGATATAAAGGTAATTTGGATAATGAACAGTACCACACAGCCACCGATCCTTGTGACAGTGCAGAAAACAGGCTAAGGGCAGGCACAGGAGGCCAACTTGTACCAAATCCAGCATCTGATTTGTGAACTTGGGCTCTTTCATCAGATACAGAAGCTTCTTGCTCATTGTAATTCCTGCCCAGCCAAAGCCAGAACAATTAAAATAATTCTTGTTTTCAGATAAGATCAGCTGGCCACAAATTCTAAAATTCTTCTAGTAATGCACCATTTATTTTTTAATTCTGGGTCGAAAATTTTAAGTGCATCTCTAAGCTGACCAAAAGGCTTTGGCCCTAACCCAAATGGGCTTTTCCTGCAGGTCGGTCTGAAGTTGCTCAGTACCCAGCCTTCTAGTTATCCTAGCAAAGCCTACAGCCACGGGCCTTAGTCAAAGCAAAGTCCTTTTACCAACTTATTCTTCATATTTGTGGAGTGGGAGTAGAAAGTCCGCTCAAAACTCTTCTTTTGAAAAAATATAACAGTTAAACGGTAATCTAATTTTAAAAAATAATCTTAGATTCAGAAACCACTATGCAGGATATTTGCATCCCAGGCTCTAGAATCTTTTATCTAACAGAGAACTGAGCACAAAGCATCATCCACCACTTTGCAAGCAACAACAGCTTAGAAACTATTTAATGCATCAGCAAGAAACACTGCTTCTAGAGGAATTCAAGTTCTCTGCATGAGTATTGTTTTCCTTTAAAAATTGTTCTGGCAGTAACAGGGTTCTACTGTAGCATTTTAAGAAACAAATTATATATTTATATGTATATGTATATGCATATATAAACCAGTCCTGTTTCATTAATAAAACTCTGATGGAACCAGCACCTTCCTTAGCGACAGGCTGGTATGAAATCCATGAGCTGGGAGTCTGTACAAAGAATGCTATCCAACACGAAAAAGATTACTAGAAACCAGTTCTTGGTGTTTACTGGACTTGGGTAGAGAAGGCCAGGCCTCATTTCAAATCAAGAATTTCAGTATTCTGTACCTTACTTTCTTCTTCAGATTGGCCCAAACACAGAAAGTAACATTTTTATCCTTCATGACTGCCTGCATATTTCCAGTTTTAGAGTCTTCATACATATTAGCTGTCTACAAAGAAAAAAGCCGATTAAATCATGTTTTCTTATTTCTGTCACTTTGATTTACTTCCATTTACACTTGAATAAATAACAGGAATAAAAGTACACCAGACCAAGCTGAGGTACGTTGTATTTACGCATTAAAACATGACAGTTATAAACTCAAATTTCTTTGTTAAAATGTGAACTATGTTCTTTTACTTCCTCTGACTTCATCAATCCTATCAGTCAAATACTGCCAAATATGGGATATTCCATTATCGCCTTCAATGGTACGGCCTATCTCCCTTAATCAGGTGCTCTCGAAAATACTTCCTAGGACAAGTTAAAAAAAAACCAAAACAACAAACAAGATGGACTTGCTAAGCAATAAAGCACTCCTGTCCCACTATCAATGGACAGATTGTTTTATCATTCTGTCAGTATAAAATTTGTGAAATGATAATTACGTTAGGAGTTTAATCTTAAACTCAGTAAAGACAATAAAGAATTCAACATTTCTTATTTTGCAGAGGGTTTTGACTGTAAACAGACGACTTGTTCACTATTTCCTTTACGCCTTCACCTTCTTTTGTTTCCTCTAGCAATATTCTTTTGCTAAACATACTTACGTATGTATTACTTAAAATAGCAAGCAAGATCTCTACCCATACATGCAACCCAGAAAATCGATTACCAAGTACACAATCGTTTTCTTGTTTCAATGCTCTTTACTCTTCCCAAGACCTTATTTAAAAAAAAAACCTCAGTCATATGGAATTGTATTAAAAAATGTGTACAGGCTAACCTGATGACCTGCTTTTCACATTTGCAATTTTTTGTACAGTCAATCAACTTTAATTTAAATCACTCGGACAAATTAGGAAACAAATTTCACACAGTGCCCCTTGTTATGAACATCTCCAAATCCCACAGAATTTCAGAATAATTTAATCTTAAATGTCTTAATGATGGGAATTTCCACTGTAAAGCTAAGATTTTCAAGGGTTTTGAAGAATTACAAGTCTGGTATCCGATATATACATGATTTGGAATGTCAAATGCTAAATTTGGAAACTCACATAAGTAATCTCTATGACGGTTTAAGAACACACAAAGACAACCATCACAACAAGACATTTGTAGCTAAACTCACGTGCACTGGGCATATTACAATTTCCAAGCAGTTAATCTCACTTACTTTAAGCAGGTGCTCTGTAGCTCCATTGTACTTCTGATGAAGCAGATTCTGCAGTTCCAGAATAGATTCCTGGTACTGGATTGCTTCTTTTTCTGTTATCTCATTTGGTTGTGTGTCAAATAAAAGAAACTGCAACTTCTCAATTAACTAGAAGACATTATATGTAGGAAAAGTACCTTTATTTTGACATCACCCTTAATATACTGTGTGTTCTGTCATAAAGAAAGAGGCAAATTTGCTTTCTTTGTACCTAAACATTTCTTGGTCACAGAAATAATCTTTTTCTATTATATCCCTAGAAATTGTGCTAAGTCGGCATTATCAGAGAGGAATCCAGCCATGCAAAGTGCTGGAAATTCCAGGGCCGAGTCTGCCTTCCTTCATGTCTATTATAGTCCAATTCCTTCATTCCTTAACCTGAGGGCTGTGAAATCTCGGCTTATGAAACAGATCATTTATTGAACTGGATTGGTCATATGAGGAAACCTTTTGGTCAAAAACTGGTTTTAATGAAATGTTTACAGCTTTGTTTTGGAACCATATTTTCTTATAGTAATAATCTCAACTATGAACTCTTAAAAAAAAATAGAAAGACGTAGAGCAATGACTTTTTAATTCCCAGAGCAGTCCTTAGCATGAAGTTTGGAACTCCATCATAACATTGTTGTCCTCCACTACATGCTAATATCTTAACATCTCGTATAGAACTAAAAATTCCCAGCTGGCCAAAGTGACCTGCAGCACTGAGACGAAGGGAGGATCAGACTGTATTTTATGCCTCCCGTCCAGACTTACCAGGCTCTTCTGCCTCTTAGCCTGTGCAATCGCAATGCTACTGCTCATCAAAGGCGTGGCAAAGCAGCAGCAGAATTGTAACTACTACTGTCTTTTTTATATTGCACCTTAAACACGGTCTACCTCGGTATGATCTCACAGTTCTGAGTGTTTCACAGCTTCCTTTAAAAACATGCAGAACAGGAAAGAAGCGGCCAAGTGTTTTAGACCAAGAGAAGACAGATGATTGTTTTGACATCACCTTGCATTTCCAGTAGCAGCGAAACAAAAATGCCTATCTTCTAGTATCACATCACGCTCTACTGAATGTACCAGGCGAGGCAGCATACGTTTACAGGGCCTGAAGCAGCTGTACCTGCTGCAGTCATGGATGTGAAACACTCAGCATGGGGAAGAAGGGTGTTTGTGGGCCAGACGTGACAGCAGGGAGAAGAACGGCACAAAGGAACGCAAGTGGGCAACGGCCGGGCTTTCTGCTTGGGTTGCAGGGGCAGAAGCAAAAGGGTGGAGTTCTCTGCTGAAATTCTTGGGAAGGACCAGCACATTCCCCACTGGCTCAGAAAAAGGCAGCGTGCGGAAAGTGAAAATTGCAGCATCCAGCAAGCATTGCAAGATGGGACATCTGACACTCGGAACCAAACCAGCCCAATGAAAGTTGTATTACGCATGCAACTTTCACCCCCAGTTTCTGGAAGACCCCATTTAACTTTCCGGGAAAACACTATGAAGTTAGCATACTTCAGAGTAAAACCCTGCATTGACAGAGCAGCCACAAATTGCTTAAAATCGCCTCACAAACCATCAACGGTTGGCGGCTTGCATTTTGGGAGCCCCTGCTCTCACAGGCCACTTTACCAGCTGCAAGCGCTACACAATAAGGCCGCTGTCCTCTGAAGCATCTGTACATGGCACGAGCTTATACGTTCTGGCTCCAGACTGTATAAAGTGCACATAGCAGGGAAGATGGATGCTGGAACACTTGAGCTCAGCGTAGAAAGATTACACACAAAGCCCTTCGATGCACTGCATTTTTAAAGTCAACAGACATCTTCTGTAGAGTCAACAATAAATTTGTAATTTAAAAAATGTAAAAGCTGAAGAAAAAGTTCTGGGTTTTGAAGGGTATAGTAAATTTCAGGCATTTGGTCTCAAAAAGAAAAAAAAAAGAAAAAAGAAGGAAGGGGGAGAGGACTGTTAAGGATAGATTCTGGCAAGCTTAAACTGAAAAATACCATTTTAACACTTACATTTAGCACCTGTTCTCCCTTCTCCATCACAAGATGAATGTCCTCATTTTGATCTTCACGCCATAAGCTCATGAAGGTATTTATTTCCGGCAGTACACTTGGGTCAGGACTTCCATCACAACTGAGGTAATGCTCCCACTGCAGAAAACGTTCAAAGAAAAGTAGATATGGGCATGTGGTGCAAATGACTATTGTTTCTACAAGAAGAAGGAGGATTCTGAGAGACAAACATATGGTAGGGATACATTCACACCTGCATCTAAACAGGACTGTAACACCACCTGGCTTCTCATTATGCCAGAAAAAAATGGGTTACTTTGATTTTGTGTTAAGTAAGAAACTTCTGTCCACTTAACATTTGCTGTTTATACTTCCTCATCTATCAGGGATTTCTGCTCTGCTAGGTAGAGCTTGTGTGTCTACAAAAAGTAATGATTTCAGTACCTGATAAAAACATAGGGCTGAAAGAACAAATGACTGAGAACATAACTGAGGAACCGGTGCAGGAGGAAGAGGCAGATGGTTCTCAAATCAGATACTGCCAACAAAACTGAAAATTCCCACACTGGCAATAAAGCTGCTTCAGAACCTGCTACTCCAACAAGTTTATTCCTCCTTTCTCTGCCTCGGAAGGAAAATTCCTCCTCCCTACCAGCACCAATTCAGCTGCTACAGAAACGTCTGGTGGGAATGTCAAAAGGATTGAATGATTTTTTTTTTTAATAATTGTGTTTTCAAATCAATTATTGGTCATTGTTGGGGAGGGGAGAAAACATAATAATCAACAACAACAGGCTAAACCCACTTAACTCTACACATGAGCCTAACATTGGCTCATGGAATCAATTTACAACCTATAATTTTTTTCATCCATACAGTAAGATATTAAGGGAACCCTGCCTCCCTGTATACTGTGCAGATTAACAACGCAATGTTACTGAAGATTGCATTACAATGTAAAATGGATCTTTTAACGCAAAAGTGCTTGTATAATTGCAGTCCCAACCACTTCCATAGCCATTTCCACTGACTTCAAGAAAAGCAATAATAGGTGAGTTCTCAGTGCACTGGAAACTCCTGTATAAAAGACTGATCAGTCTTCAGTACTTCAAACATCTGATTTATTTTTTTGTACATATTTGCACTTAAAAGAGAGCTTCAGTTTCATCATCAAGAAAGCACATCCTTAAGAATAACAGAACTTGTTCCTTGAGAAAAAGGATAAATTTCATTAAAACCTGTAAGCGTATCTGTTAATCTGCACTGAAATTGTTCAGAAACAGATGTGGAAACAGCATTTGGTATTATATGTTTCTTTTGCCCTAAGTATTCATACCAACTGGCTAGTACAAACTCTGGTATTTCCCATAATCTACCAGGTTTTTATTTGAAGATTTAGTTTTATAGTTCTATTTTGCCATTACTTTTCAAAACAACAACAAAAAGTTCTGTATTTCTCCTTCTGGGAAATACTCTTCAGAAACACCCATGAACAACAACTGTCCCCTTCCAAACTGACCAACAGATTTTCTTGTTCACAAGGATAGCAAAGTCAGAGCTTGTCATCAACCGAAAAAGGTAATAAAAATCATCCAAAGGTGTCAAGACGTAGCTGTGAAGTTGTCATGCTGCACCCTTCTGGCAACGAAGGCTGAGTAAGCAGGCAGCCAGCGAGCCCACGACTGTTCCCTGCGCGGGGCTCCCAAGGCCACACCGGCACTGCTGTGCCCAGTGTTGGGCCCCCCAGTAGAAGAGAAGGACTGGTAAACTGGAAAGTCCAGACAAGGGACATTGGGATGGTTTGGGAACTGGAGGAAACGATGCGTGAGGAGAGGCTGAGCTTTGTTAGTCTGGAGAGGACCACCACAGCTAAGGGAGCAGCCAGTTGCTCTGTACCAGTACCTAGAGCGGGGTTACGGAGAAGACAGCAGCAAACTTTTCTGAGGTGCACAGAGATGATGTGTCACAACAAAGAGGCAAAGATCACAAGCTGCAACAAGGGAAATGCCGACTGGATTTGAAGAAAAAACATTACATTGAGAGTGGTAAAGCAGTCAGCTAGGTTGCCCAGAGATACTGTGATATCCCCATCCTTAGAAATTTTCAAAACCCAGCTGAGCACCTTCATCTAACTTCAGTGTTTGCCCTGCTTTGTGCAGGAGATTGAAGTATAGGAGTTTCCAAAGTCCCTTCTAATGCGATTTCTCCTATGATTCTAAATTTGTTCCACGCAGGCTTTATAAAGGATTGAGTGATATAGTGATACACAACACAAAGAGAAAACCGTTGTGCCTACAAGTCTGTTTAACCTTACTCAGAACCAAACTGACCAAATATCATTATCAGCTACTGAATGATGTTTGATGGATTTACAAGAGTGAAACGTTGTATTAGAGTATTTCCATACCTTATTATTTAAACTTTAACTTTACAGTTAAATACTTTATAGTATTGTTGGATGGTAATTCAACCTCCATGTATGCCACCCTAAACTGCAGACATTAACTCTTTGCTGCACCTTCATGTACTTCAAGCCCTGATATCTGACCCGCATTTGCGCTGTGTCCTTCAAAGTTTTAGCCACCCTCTCTCCAAATGATGGCCTGTGATATCCAGGAACCACTGGCACAAAGTTGTCAATTGTCTCACATTCTACAGAGATATTTTTAATCCCTGGTAGAGCTTTTTTATGGAATGTAGAATGAATTAAACAAATAGAAAAGGAAAGACAAACAGTAGAACATCTGAAACTACAACTCCTCTTCACTGCTGTGGTAAGCTGCAGGGCTCTCATACTTCGATCAGCCAGACAGGCTCCTCTCTGGCCATGTTTCTTTTCTGTGTACGCCAAAGTACCGAAGACAGAGGAGAGTGAGGATGTCCAGTTACTCCCTTGAGTTGGAAGTTGACATGCAGTCACCAGCACATACCTAAGTCCAAGAAATGGAAGCATTTCTGGATCCTGTAACAGAGACATAGCCTGAAGCCTCCTGTCAAACCTCTACGACACTGGGCAGATTTTGAAAAGAAAGCTTACCTTTGCACGTGCTCTATAATCTGTTTTCCACTGCTGTGCAGACAAAAACTTCTGTTCCAGTGAACGAAGTTCTGCTAGTTCAGACTCCCTTCGTTCTTGATCCTGTTAAAATACATATATATCACATAGAGGAGTTAAATATTTGGTTTACTACTTGTAAATATTTTATACCAAAGAAAAAATTTAGGATATTTGAATGAGTTATCATTTAAACAAATCCAAACACTGATAATGTGGGTTTTTTATGAAACATTTAATTGAGAAGACTGCAGAAGTTCGCAGCATGTTATTGTCATCACGTGACTTACTGGGCCATATGATAAACATAACGTGTCATATGATTGTTAACCGCCTCCTTGAACAGTTTCCATATCCTCATCCTGAAACTACCTCTAATGAGAGCTGATGAAAAATGTAAGCCTATGTTGGGAAAATGTGTGAAAGACGATTTTTTTTTTCCTTATAATTTCTATTATGTTAAATGTATCCTCTCTAGGGGGAAAAAAAAATATTCTGTGAAGGACAAGAGGCACAGGCAAGAGTGACTTTTTTTCGGAGGGAGGGGAATAAATTGCAGTCAATCTCATTTTCTTTTTTTTTTAAACACAAAAATATTTAGATATTAACGAGCAATTTTTGTTCTGAAATCTGGTCTTCTTAAAAAAATAAACATATTCAAATACGCTCATACATATACACACATGCATGCACACAATTCTGTGCATCTGTCCTAATATGTAACCACTTCTAGAATTTACACCAAAATTTTCTTGCCACAACTGTGCTAAATGAGGAACACAAAAAGATATATGCAATTGAAAGTATAGTGGAACTGGAAAAACAGAGGTATTTATTCAAACTGGAGTATCACATATCCCCAGAGTTAATGTATTTAACCATAGCATCTTTATGTATCAAAACCAGGCAAGACTATCTTGTCTCAGGGAATTTTTCTGAATCAAAACAACACCAAGCCAAACATCGGCTTAGTTAAATAATACTATAGAAAAAAAAAAATCAGCACTGTTTCTCTTGACTTTACATGTATTAGTGTGTTTTATGTAATTACTAATCCAGCTCACTACCTTCTCAACTTGTGGGGTCTTTGTATAGTTATACATATGTTCTACATACCTTTCCGTGACTTAGCTAGATTTTTCATTATTAATTTTAATCTAGTGATGCTAGAAAATTTCCTCTACATTGTTCCCAACACTAAGGACAGAAGGAAATTCCTTTCCATCCTCAGACTAAATTAACAGTGTTTTACAGACCTTGCCACAGGTTTAGAAACAGGATTAGAATTTTTCAGTAACTACTGAGTATGAACTAACTTTTGCCTCCAGCTTTTCCATCTGTTCTTGTTCAGATCTCTCCTTTTCAACTCCTTCTTCTTGCTGAGCTTGCAATCGGGCTTCCTCTGAAGATTGAGAAATATATCAAGAGCATAATTATATATTGCTTAATAAAACCACACAAATTATTTCGTTATTAGCTGTAACTACAAAACAACCATAATAATGAGAAACACAAAGGCTTATCTTATATTGTGCAGAAATCTTGCAAATAAGCCAAATTACATTGAGCCACCGTACTAAACCACACCATCTATGGTGCTACTCCTATCAGCCCGTGACAACACACGTGGAGACAGGGATCAGCACGCTCTCTTCCTCCCCTCAGAAACAGCAGCAGGAGTGCCCTCTTCTTTTATCTACAGCTGGAACAGCCCCAAGTTCTTACTCCAATGTCTACAGTGAAACGGCCTGCATGGTTCAGTCTCAAGTTACTCTTCTCCTCTCCTACAACCTTTGCTGGGTATCTCAATCTTACAGTTACTTCTCTGAAACCCTCTTCAAGCTCAGTTACTACTGATCACAGTTTTAGCTTTTCTTTTCTGCCACAGTGACTAGAAAATCAGAGAGCATGTGAAAACTAAAACCGATTTCAACTTCTAAGCCTTCAGTTTAAGATAGCGCAGCCTATGCATCAGTCCAGATGTTCCCAAACAGTGGTTTGAATGTCACTGCCTACACGTAAATCACTTCAAATATATCTGTGTTGCACAGAGGCAAGAGCAACGGCAGTTCCCAAATCTGCCTGTACTCACCTGAGTTGCTACCCCCATCCACAGAGGTTGCTAGTGATTAGCAGTCACTTACTAAGCTGGAGAGGGACTTTTTACGAGGGCACGGAGTGATAGGACAAGCGGTCATGGCTTTAAGCTGAGAGGGTAGATGTAGATATAAGGAAGAAATTCTTTACTATGAAGGTGGAGAGGCACTGGCACAGGTTGCCCAGAGAAGCTGTGGATGCCCCTCCCTGGCAGTGTTCAAGGCCAGGCTGGATGGAGCTCTGAGCAACCTGGTCTAGCGGGAGGTGTCCCTGCCCATGGCAGGGGGGTTGGAACTAGGTGATCTATAAGGTCCCTTCCAACCCTTACCATTCTATGATTCTACTATTACTAGCAGTCATAGCATGCCCAAGCCCTCACCAGGATGGACTAATGGCAGAAAGGGAAGTAGAAGAGATGATGTTCAGGCAGGGATATCGGGTTGTGATAGCAAATGGCAGAAGCAGCCACATTCAGATGGGGAGGACAGGTCAAGGCATGCAACTGGGATTTCATTTTAAGGGCTACAGTGAAGTACAGCCGAAAGAGCTTGAAGAAGTGGGGGGAGGAATCAGTCACTCAGAGACAGAAGAAGACCAAGCAAACTACACATTAATTGGTCCCAGTTTGTAGTCACCTTATCTGCTTACCCTTCAGAACACACGCTAGCCCCCTGCCAGCAGAAGCATTCTGTTGGCCGCCTTTGGAAAAAGTCCTTTTCAGACAATTTCTCCTGTCTACTGGTAACTAGGCTCGGGGGTGGGGGTGAGAACATGAAGTCTTCCAGCCGTCCTCCTTCTCAACTTCCTAAACGTGGTAGAAGTAACTAGAGAAAAGAGTATGGCTCTAACAGGAAAGTGAGACGTGGGAGGCAGTCACAATTAACACAGAAATTGGCCCACACAAGAAGAGAGGGATGAATCATCTGTATCTGTGAAATATAGATATTCATGCACATATAGTCTGGGAGATTACTTTCTGTCTGTTTAATGAAAATAAGTGGTTTGTGCCATCACATTCCCTGTAAACGGAGTGCACAGTACCTTCCTCTTTGAGCCTCCTTTCTTCTTTTTTCTGCAATCTCAGTCGTTCAGCTTTGCTCACTTTCTTTTTCCCACTGGGCTTAATCTTTGCAATAAATTAAAAGAAAACAAACGTTGTCATTAGCTGGCGTCGGGGGTGGGGTGGGGAGGTATTGGCCCTCTATAAGTTTGCCCTTCTAATGTGATCCGTGAATTAAGATTTTAGACTCCCTACACAGTCAGTGAATCCTCCAGAACGGCAATCCACACCCTGGACTCAATTTTCTTCTCATGTGCATGATGCAATATATGCTCTTACAGTTAATATATTACTCCGTGCTAGGCACTCCTGAACACAGCCACACTAGGGGAATATTAAAATCTCTTGATTTAACGTGCCAATTGAGTGATAGGTAGATCCGCTAAGAAAGTGGATGTTACAACTTCAAACGTTTTAGGAAATATTTGGAAATTGATTCTGGGATATAGGCGAGCCTGGCATTTAGTAGCATCTAATTCATAAGATAACTAACAAAGAGTTCTCTTTACTGTCATAACATCCTAACTGCAGCTCAAAACAGTTAACTGTTCAAGTTCTAGGTTAATCCTAGAATAACAATGTTTTAAATTTGGGTTTCTCAGGAATTATCTTCCTTATCAACTCTCTGCAGTTTGGGTAAATATTTAAAAAAAAATAGAAGACAAGGTAAGTAACGTTCAAAATCTGCTGTCATTTAACAGATTAACCAAAATAGAACACTTATTTTTGTCCTGTAATTCAGATTCCTCACTGATGATGACACATAAAAATTTGATAACTGGATCTGTGCGCATGAGGCCACGTTGTCTTCAAGAGACTTGCACAGCTAGGATGGGGAAAGCATAATTCTCCATGGATTTGAAGATTTGGATTTGGCCCCTCATGTTTTTCCTCACCAGTAAAAAGGAAGATGGGTTTTTATTTTTTTATCATTTCATTTGGTTTTTGTGTTCACTTGGTTTTTGTGTTCACTTGGTTTTTGTGTTGACACAGCCTTGGGATGTTTAATCAAACCTGTAGGATCAGCACTGCCAGTAGAAAACAGCACTTTACAGAAAGACACACAAGAGGAAAACACTGCTTTCCTGTTAATGCAGCAGTAAAAGAAGCCCAAGGTTGCAATTCCCACCAAGTGCGTAGTTACTAAGGACTAAATTTTCTTTATTCAGTTTTACTCAGTGTTTACACAGGTAACATGGCCATTGTATTGCACATGTCATAGACTTGCAGTCAACGTGCCTCTTCCACTATATCTGGGGCTGATGGTATGAGTCAGTGCTGCAAAGACAAGGCCTGAATACAGCAGATAGAAGTAGAAAAAAAAAGGAAAAAGAAAAAAAGGGGGGTTTGGGGTGGGGGAAGCTGGGCCAGGAACTAAATTACAACAAGTTCTTGGAGCTTGTGAAAACAAGGAGGTTGATTTTGTACCGAACTGTAAAATGAATTCACAGCCAAATGATACTATTGATGAGTGGGACAGACAAGGGTATTTTTTTTATATACATGAGAAAATAAACCAAGATATTTTGTATAGGCTCCAGCATATGGAGAAAACAAAGAGCGACAACAGTCTAATCTAAGGCTAAAAGCAAAGGTACAGATGACAAAAGATAAGATGTGAAGGAAAACAAATGACTTGCATCTGGTGGAGTATCTATGTACTGGCTGAAAAATAGTATTCTGACACTGACATGTATAAATGAAAGAGAATTAAATTAAATCAAACGTTCACTTTTTTAAAACAGAGAAAATATGGAATGTAAATGAATTCAGAGTGTGAGGTGAAAAGAGGAGAAACACCCTCTGCCTGGGCACCTAACCTGGACGTTGCAGATCAGAAAGCTAAATCCCAAGTCCCTACGCCATCACCGGTGACAGACAAGCGCTTACAAGGACTCAGCCAGGTCAGATAAAATGACTAATGCAGTATGAGCTTCATCCACAGGTCAGCAAGAGAATATAAGTGGACAGTATCATAATGTAAATAAGCACTAAGGATCAAAGACATCTGTTAGGAATCCAGTCCTCCTCTCCCGCAGAGAAATGGGTACAGAATGGTACCAAACCAGCACAGTAGCACAGTGCCCATCTCGCAGAGGTGTAAATAAGGCAATAAAGAAAGAGGTCCAACAAAGCTGGCAGGGAGGACAAAAGACAACAAAAGAAGACTCGAGTCCAGACAGCTGCAAATGAACATGATGCTATTATGAAGTATTCCAGCCCACTCCACCCAAGTATTCCTGATAACTTGGTAAATACTGTTACAAGTAATCCAGCTGACAGGGAACGTAGAAATAATCAAGGAGAACCTTTGTCATCGATCACAAAAAAGTGTGTTACAAATACTATTATTTCACATTTTGCTTCCGAGTAGTATATTTTCAGACATAAATAACTACTTGGAAAGCCATTCCCTTTACACTACTTTGCATGGCAATAAATATGTACATAAATGTAACTTTAAATACAAAGGTTATCATAAAGCTTGAACATGAAAATACAGTGCCAACAACAAACATGCATCCACTAGAGTTAGCACTCATCACATTCGTTGCCAAAGCATTTACTTGCAAAATTCTCCTAGAACAGAGTCAGTAAAAACCACAGTTCTACCCATTAAGATTTCAAGGAAGAATCGGTTCCTTCAAGTTAAAAAAAAAGAAATATCTTTGATTATTTTTCTTCCAGTGAAGAGGGAAAATCTGATTATTTTAATTTCTTATAATCACTTTTTAGTCAACTTCTTTTCACATGCTTATGACTTCACATAGTACTGACAAATTTGAGATGCACAGTCCTCCAAGGAACACGTTTGAATGTATTCTTTTTCAAGGCAGCAGTGGATAATTTCATTATCACTGAATTAAGAATAATCCATGGGCATGAATTTATACAATCCAGTTTCCCGTGGACTTCTGTCTGTTGTCCCGCCTTGTCATCACACTCTGCATCCAGCCTGCGGCTCAAAGCCAGGACACTGGCCCTCTGCCTCAACATCCACTGCCAAGAAAAACATGCCACGGCTGCGCCCGCCACCTTCTCGCTATAATTTCTGCAGGAATGGGACTCAGCCTCCTTGCAAAAGGCACATCAGCTTCACGTCCTGGAGACGCCTGTTCCTCTTTAAAATTTGATTGATCCTGACCAACTGGTGCAGAAGAAATACGGATTAAAAAAAATAAATTAAAATATTTGTCTTTTAAGAAACACATTGGCACATAGGTGTCACAACACCTTTATTATGAGAGATCCTCTTAAAAATATTGTTTTGTAGACAATAAAAATACTGTTTTGTAGCCATTAAGTCCCAGAAGTAACTGATGCTTACTTTAATGTCAGTACAAAGCGCTTTGTAATTTTACTCATGTAATTTCCAAAACAACAGAAATGTGCTGGCACGCTATCTACATGAACACTGCCAGGGTCAAAACGCTGCATGTGAATGACAGCATATTTCTGCCTACCTACCTTTTTTTTCTTTTTTGGGCCCTAGAAGATCAGCAGGCGGTGGGAAAACAAAAAAAAGGAAAGCAAGCGTCAGAGGACACCGTATCAAGTACTAAGGAATAATTAGAAAATATAACTATTCTGTAAAATTAGATGAGATTAACTACTGAAAAATTATCATGACATTAATTTCAATACTGCAGAAAATTAGCCGCTAATGCATGACTTAGACCATCATGATTTATCGGGCTGGATTATACTTATGGTTATAGAAGTATATCTGCTTCTTCACACTGTTAAAATTCACGTACAACAAATATATAATTTAATCCAAGATACAATTTAGTAAAAAAATATTTTCTGAACTGATCAACTGATACTGGGTGCTACTCCTAGTAACACTCAATTACATCATGCGATGACTTGGAAGAACACAGAAACACCACCGGAGTCCCTTCTTATTTGTGGAGAAACTGCACACGAAGTGCAGAAATGCACCTAGGGGACTTCTCCGAATGACCACAGGAATTAAGAACGGGTTCTAAAAGTCAAACACCAAACAGTGAAACCCTTTTTTGATCCACCAAACAACCACCTTCTCTGTGCGACACCCAAATACCGCTGTGTGCCCTTCCAGACCTCCAGTGCGGTCAGTCGCCCAGGCGAGGAAGCTCCCTGCGAGCTAGGGCAGAGGCAGAGACGAAGCCAGGCCGCACCACGCCACGCAGGGAAGCTGGTCGCGGTGGAGCGACTCTGACAACGAAGTTTTAGTTCCCTCCAAGCCGGCCTTTGCGCCGAGCAGCCACAGCACAAGAGACGAGCCCGGGGGGGCCTCTCACGTCCTCCCCTTCAGGCGATTTTTCAAAGCCTTAAATCGTTTTTTTCCCGTATATCGGTACCTCAGCGGCCCAGGCGGCCCGCTCCAGCCCAACCCTGACCCGCCTCACCACCTCACCGCCGCCTCAGAGGGCCCGTTACCGTCGCTCT